AGAGTCAACATCTTCATCCATATCATCCACTGCCATCGGTAGAAGGCAATGTTTCCAAGGAAGCCCTGGTCTGCTTCAAATAATTATTTTTTTCCCACAATTTTCTCAGCACAGCTCGCATGGATTCAAGGACAGGCTGCCAGTTCAACCACTGCACAGGGAATTTGGCCCTACAAAGGACTTTGGGACCCTTGTGCCCCTTTTTTTCCCAGGCCATACATATTGCAATGATTCCCAGATGTCCCTCCTGGTTGCAAGGCCAACCATGAACAAAGGTTTCAAACTCACATTACTTTGGCATCCTTTTCTTATGCCAACTCATTTACACTAGTGAGAGGAATGGGATTTTGATCCTCACTGCTCCTGCATTAACTACAAACTTCTCATTTTCCATTGCTTGGGCTATTCACACTGCACAGACACAAAACCAAACACAGCACAATGTTGTTCCTCCACTTGTCATGTGCTGATCCTTTACAACACATCCACTTTTCAGACATTGTCACCCAAATGTTGACACTCACAGGTTTAAATCCCTGACCACACTGGCACAGTTGACTGCTCAGAATGTATGAAATAACTGGAGCCCTAAAATTCCCACCCAACCAATCCTGCTGCTCAGTTACAGCTGGAAATTCTTAGCCAGAGACATCACTATATTTTGCCCATTTCATGCTACAAACTAATATTTTTAGCTCTACACTTGCATGATTCCAACTCAGACATGTAAAATTTAGCATTTACTGTTGCTGCCTTTTCTTCCTTACCTTCTCATATCCTCCTTGATGTGCAGATTTATTAGCTCTCTGGGGACATGGAAAGAGAGAGTGGTCTCAGCCATCTGCTCCCGGATCCGCATCCACTTGTTGTCAGAAGTTGGGAATCTGTACAACTTACAGACTGGGTTTTTCAGCACTGCCGAGAGGAAAAATTATATCATTGCTTTCCTGTGGTTTTATGACTCTTGGAAAATTTATGACAATGATTTCACACAAATATAATACATTATTCCCCCCCTTGCTTACAGAATTAATTTTAGAACTATTAAAATTCTATTAAAACCATTCAATTTGTATTTAACTTATTATACCAGCATGTGCAGGACAAACCAGTACTAGAACAGCAGATAAATCACAATTTAGCAGCATAGTAGGTAACCTGTGAATTTAGCATTTCAGTGTAGTGAGAATGGAAATTATACTCTTGTTTCTTATGCTGAAGATGTAGTTAGGGAAAATAGAATGCACAAACTAACAAGGAACTCACATCCAGACACAGCATCACTTACCACCCACCAGGATCACTCACACTGCTAATACACCAAGTGAAACACAGCTCAGAGTTCAGCTGTGCCTGATGCATCTGCTCTGGGATGAGCACACACAGATGTCACTGGCACAAACAGAAGATGTGCATCTGCAGTAAGGGAAATTTGGCTGTTGACATGGTCAAGAAGGTTCCATGTCAGAGTTGCCTTGATCACTGATGTGGTCAGGAGACTGTCACAACATCAAAATGAGGGTAACAGTCCTGTCAAGGTGTTCCACACACTGTTCTCAGATGCCTATTGGAGCCTGACATGGGAAAGTCATGGTCCTTGGTGTCTGGGAAGATTCTGCTTAAAACTCACCATGCTTTTTGATGTTAAAGTTCTCACATGGTGCTACATTTCCATTCAGGTCTTACAATGATGCTCTATAATAAAGGTGGGAAATTTCTACTTTCTCTTTTCCATTTTTCCTTTTTTTTTTTCTTCACCCTCCTCTTATTTTCCAGCAAGAGCAAATAGAGAAAAAGCTGAGAAAGAAAAAGTTCTGTCTGACTACTTTGATAGGCTTACTTGGAGACAAATGATTGCCATCTAACACACGCATCCACTGCTCCCTGACTCGGAATGGCTCGGGACAGCCATCCAGACCCTCCAATTGTGCCTTTCCATCAGCCTCCTGGAAAAGTTGCCTTGCAGCAGGTTCCCATTGATCTGCCTCCCAATGGTCCATAACTCACAGGGATTCATACCCCATCTGTGCCATGAGGAAACTGTGGCTGTCAAAATGACATCCCCAATAGAAATTTCAACTTCACAACTCACTGCCACCGTTAATGCTTCGACAGGCTGATTTACAGAGAATGGAATACACAGACCCAGTCATGAAAGACACACAAACTGCCTTGTCTACATAATTAAACTGGGTTTTTTTGAACAGAAGTCCTTTAGGAAAGGTCTAAAACAAGACCAGAGATTCAAAGGTATCTGTAACAAACCCATCGCTGGCAACTCCTAAAGAAAGGAATGTTGTGACTAATCATGCTTGAGGAACTGAAGATGTATTGCTTTCCATTCTCATCACTCCACTGAGTGGTCATTAGTCTTCAATGAAAAGCTGGAAGCCTTTTCAGAGTCATCTTGCCTTTACTTATTAGTGATTTTACTTTCAACAGCTAAATTCTGCCTTGGTGTGATGAAATCAGCCTAAGAGATGCTCGATTAGCTATGCAATATGAGTAACAGCATCTTTTCTTTACTACTAGCACTCAAAAGACTTAATGTTCACGCATCTTTTCCTGCACTTTTACAGCCTGAGAAGCCTCAGCACACAGACCTCACTACTGGCCACTACCAAATTAAGCTTCTCCAAGTGCTGTGCCCATGATGAACTCACATCCCTCGTCCTGACTTCCTTGTATCCCCTGATTAAGGTGTGCTGCAATGCATGTTTCCTATTTTCCTCTTTCCTGAGATTCTTCTAACTAACAAAATCAGTTTTGTCAATGATATTAAAAGCCTCTGCCAATTCACAGAGCAGATATAAGGCACCAACCATCTCCCATTAACAAGACAGAGAAGGTAAATTTTCACGTCAGGAAGAGCTCAAGAAACTAGGGGCTAATTCAGGCCTATTCTTAAACAGAAAAGTGCGAAAACAAATGATAATTTGGGGCTCGGTTTGTTTTCTCTGCTCACTAGGAAGCAGCTGGTGTGTGTCCCCAGGACATTTCAAACCATGAAGCCCCAGACACCAAAGACTTTTCTTTATTTTACCTTTTCTTATCTACTTCCTAAGAGGCTTATCAACGGATATTTTTTCCAAGAACACCCCTTAAATTTGCAGTCAGAATACATTGAAAAATCCTCATTTATCTGTGAGAACCTAATGCACAAATGTAGCTGCACAATCTCTTTCCTCTCATCTCCCCATTGCCACCAGCACAGGAGAGATGCAAAATGAATCAGAAAACCTGTCAGGACCAAAGTTGTGACTTTTATCTTTGTTAGAATTATTAAACTAGTCTCCAGGCTCTACCTAAATTTTCAGGCCTTTGATTCAGGTCTGAGTTTTCAGATGGGAATAATCTCAGGTATGCTGTAAGTTTTCAAAACTGGTCAAAACATTTCTCCATGGGTTTGAGCACGAAATTTCATTTACAGACTCAGGAAAATTTTTCACAAGGAACCCAAACAATTCCAATGTGCAGCACTGAGATGGTCAATAAAAGCTGCACAATACTTGATGCTTTCCTGAAAACAGAACTGCTGAGGTCATGTGATGCCACAAAAATCTCAGCTCCCAAATCCAACAATAATTCCTGTCTAATTACAAGGTGTCTCAAACAGAATCCAGGAAGGCATGGAAAACCAACAAACAGTCAGAATGGCAAGACTGAGTTTGGCTTTTATAAAAAGTAGTCATAAAAATGAGACCAAGTTTCATAAAGGTAAATCCTTTCCATATGTAGACAGTGATCGTGAGAGATATTGAAACAAAATCCACATGAACTGCAGTGGTTAAACCAGAGAAAACCTTTTTGAATAGCTTTTCTCTTGAGAGAAACCCAAAAGCCAATGCCATATATTTAACCATCCCCATTTGTGGACATTCTCATTTTCAAATGTGAAGACCTCTGTGCTTTCTATTCCATGCAATATCCTCACACTGCTTCCCCTGGGAGGAAAATATAAAAAATGATAACAGATTGAATCTTCTGTTTTATTTTTGTTCCCTATTGAACACAGATCAAAGCATATTGCAGCCATATACTAATTTACTGACAGTGTTCCTATTTATATCTTCCTTTGCAGCAGAAGTGTATTATGCATTTTACCTCAGGAAGAATAATTCCAGCTTAATTTTTGCTTAATTTCAATTACTTTTATTCTCTTTTTTTATTCTACAGCATGATTTGTTTACATGCAAACAACCGGCAAACTCTCCTGCATTACAAATAACCGACTGAATTTTGAGACATACATTCAGTCTCTGGGGGAGAGAAATGGAATAGTGATAAGGCTCTGAAATACTCCACTCATTGCCACTCACTCAATAAGCATCTCATAACTCACTCGAGGGCTGTGAGCTGCCTATATTGAGATGTAAATTCCAGCAGAATGCCAATGTGCAGCCATGCCCACAGGTCTGAGCTCCACACTGGGGTTTTTTCAGTTCCATCATTCTGAAGGGCTGATAAACAGCAAGAAGCAGAAAGAATCAGAAAGCTCTGCAAAAGTTACACGTGTACTAACTATCTGTGTGTGTGGAATACAAACTGCTGTGGCTTGTTCTGGCTGCACACAGCAAGGAAAGGAGAGCAGGCAGTGCTGGTGTTACCAGTTTGCCTGACACACCTACCACAGTGCTGCTCTTTGCTCCTTGCCCTGCAGTCCTGTTTTCCACTGCCCCTGATTGTGCCACACAGTAATTTGTCTGGCTTAAACTGACTCAAACAAAGCCAGGTTGGATGATCCTTCGATGTCAGCTCTTCCTATCATTGTGAAGCAGAATTCACCAAGTGTTGGATTGTTCACCCACTAATAGGGAAGCTGGGTTTGGTTTAGACCGTCGTGAGACAGGTTAGTTTTACCCTACTGATGATGTGTTGTTGCAATCTGCTCTGGTGGGAGGTGTCCCAGGGCAGAGGTTGGGGCTGGATCACAGAATCAAACAGGTTGGTAAAGACCTCCAGGATCATCAAGTCCAACCCTACCGTGGTCACTAGACCATGGCACTAAGTGCCACATCCAGTCTCAGCTTGAAAACCTCCAGGGATGGGGAATCCACCACCTCCCTGGGCAGCACATTCCAATGCCTGAGCACTCTCTGTAAAAAATCTCTTCTAATATCCTAAACCTGGAACCAGTGCCTGGGACCAGCAGGAAGGTGGAGGCAGTGCTGGGGTGAGCCGAGAGTCACAAGCACAGGAAACAGACTGAAGAGTAAATATATATCGGAACAAACTTCCTGTGACTGCAAACTCTTTCCAATATCCTGCAGCTCTGTCACTGCTTGCATTTGTCCCTGCAACTCTGTCATTCCTTGCACATGGCCCCACAGCTCTGCTCCTTCCCCTCAATTCTTTAAAATAATACCCAAAAAATTACAAAAAAACCCTCCATGGTATGTTTCACTTTGCCAACCCTAGTAAAGTTGGGTGGGCTCCAAGAAAAGCCATAAATAGATGCCTAGAGATGCAAGATACTCTCCCTGCCTCCAGCTATTTCCAGCTCAGGAATTCCTGGACCCAGATGTAGTCCCTGTACATTCAGCAATCCTCAATTACCACCTTTCCCACAAACATATCTAGTCTCACAGTGACCACGTGCAAAGAAATAGCAGTTGTGAAGAAGAAATTTTCCCCTGCTTCTCTTCTAGACTCAATAAGTCACAGACAAAAATTGCAGCATTCATACATCCAGGGAAAAAACTGAATTTTGGGGAGTTTCTACTGCTTCCTTCAGACTGCAAAGCTAGTCAATAAGTCTGTCCTATCAGAGAAGTCATACAAAAAGTTCCAGTAAAGGTTTTAAAACTTGAGTAATATTTCTCCTCAACTGTGTGCAGCAAACGCACAGAATTCCTGACAGTGCTGTGGTTTCAGATGACCCATATAACTTATTCCTGACACTGTTACTGCAGAGTAATGGAGATTCATAAACTTGGGCTAATAAAACTTTTATGGTGCAGCATATCAGCATGTCATATTTCTCAGCCTAATGAAAGAGAAAGATCTGGTTTAACACCACACACTCAAGCCCAGAGTTGACCGAGAATTGAGAATGCCTTGCCAAGAGCTCCTTTCACTTGGGACATAGAGCTCCAGATCAAACTGAAATTGCCTCTTCATCAGCTGAGAGAGAGATCGATTCTCCAGGGGTTCAGCAACAAATAATGCATAATTACTTAACAGAATGCCATGCAATGACATGACACACACTTCAGAGGTTAATTCCATGCCCTGTCACTGAGAGGCTGGAAAATCACTGAGTGGTGAAGATGTAAGGAATGGAGATTTTAGCACTTCAGAAAGTGCAAGTGACATACAGTTCCTCACATTTCTCAGGCAAATGATACCATCAAATATGTATGAAACACTAAAATACTGAGCTTACACATCTGTGCAACATCTGAGGAGCCTTTTACAGAATCTCTGTGATTTCTGCAGGGTCTGACAGCGTGACAACACTCCTCTTTTCCAGCTGTGAGGATACTCACCTGCATTTAGCGAGGGCAGGTTGTCCTTCCCACCAATGCCTTCGGAGGCCAAACACTCCCGAACCAACGCACACTGCAAAAGAGATGCAAACACAAATGGGACACACTCAGGTGCCTGCAGGAAACCCACAGCAGTTTATAAACTGCAGGCTGAAAACCAGCGCTTGAGGATGCAACTTCCCAACTCATAATTTACATTTTTATATTCCTGTTCCAATAGATTGCAACACAATCAGGATTATAGCAGAGAAAATAACAAAACAGGATCAGCTATTCCATAACAAACAGAAAGATTCCCTACCAATACAACAGCAGAAGTGTCAAGAGGTGTTAGCAGTTTGGATTAAGTAAGTTTTAAATAAAGCACTTAGAGTTTCAAACAAGTTTTGACAGGTTTTGTGCTTTCAAAGAGGTTTCTTTGGGCTAGGCAGTTTTTCACATGCAGTGTGAGAAAGCACTCCATGAATTTTTAAACAAGGGAGAAGTAGGAACCACAAAAAGTCTTTAAAATGTGCTCGTGGTTTGCGATTAAAGTAATTTGTTATATAAGTGAACTGGAAGATTTCTTTGATAAGATTTTAGCAACTTTTCAATATCTGAAGGGCCTACAAGGAGCTGCAGAGGGATCTGTGTTAGGAGCTGCAGGGACAGGACAAGGGGCAATGGGTTCAAACTGAAGGAGGGGAAGTCCAGGTCAGATATTAGAAAAAAATGTTTTGCTCTAAGGGTGGTGAGACCCTGGCCCAGGTTGCCCAGGGAGGCTGTGGTTGCCCCAACCCTGGCAGTGTTCACAGCCAGGTTGGATGAGCCTTGAGCAACCTGCTCTGGTGGGAGGTGTCCCTGCCCAGGGCAGGAAGATCCCTAAGGTCCATTCCAACCCCTAAAATTCTATGATTAGTGTAGAAAAAAAAAAGTATAAGAAATTTATGGAAAAATCAACTGGTGTATCCCTATGTTAAATGTACTAGGAAGGATATTCTTAATGCTCCTCCTCCCTCCAGCCTGAAAAAACCCAGAGAGCCTCTCAGGGTGACAGAGAGAGAGACATGATGTACTCTCTACTCACTTATATCTAGGACTGAATTTAACCATCACCTTCCTCTTCCAGGGGGAATTCCCTGCACGTAGTTCATCTAAGCAGTTAGCAAACCTAATTCAAAGCTTATTCCTTTGAAGCAATTTTATAATTCTCACAATTGCATCCTCACTAGAACATATAAACCAAGACTAGGATGCAACTGATTTGTACAAACCCGGGACGCTGTTAAAGCCCAGAGAAAATGCATCTGTCACGAGGCTAGTCTCTCTTGACAAGTTTTGGAACCCCCAGAGGAAGATGCTATTAAAGCCTTCTGGCTCCCCCAGGCTAGGCACAGCTCATTAATTACATCTCAAATAATTGTGAGGAGTCTCAGTCCACATCTTGAAATGGAAGAAAAGCAAAATGAAAGAGGAGGCTGAAAAAACAGCTCATGGTGAAAGTTTTATAGTTCAAAATCAGAAAGATTTTGCTGTGTTTGTTGGCTGCTTTGGAACTGCTCCCACTCACCTGTGGTTTTAAAAGGGCACTAAAGTCCTCTGAAATTAATGATGAAAAGAAGGTGTAAAACCTGTTCTCAGAATTTGACCCCAAAGCAGATTAGTTTGGCTGAGCAGAAAACACATGGAAAACAATGTCCCGGTCTCAAAAAGCTCAGGATAGAATATTACTCTGTACATTTACACGACAAGTTATTTTTAGTTTAGGTAGATTCAGTGTACATAGCACTTCACGCTAGACATTAATTAAGTCCTTAACCCAATTTGGAATGAGTATTTTAGACATCTGGTACTGGTGATCATTCCAATTAACTCTGTGCCATGAACCAAACTTGTACCTTCTGATCCTGGTTATCTGCTGTGATGTGGTCAGTGTCCCCATCCTCCAGCTCCCCCATCTTCACAAGGTTCACCTCAATGGTGCCAACTGCTTTTCCACCATCAGAAGTCCTGGGGAAAAAAAACAACCCATGACATAGAGTTAAATTGTTTCAGTAAAGATATTGCAGTAGAGGTTTAGTCCTCTCTCCATTCTCTGTAGATGCTGTTCCCTGTATTGAATTAATTGTTGACCATCATAAACCAAATGCTAACAATGAGGCAAATTCTTTTAGGCACTGGAAGTTTTAATCACCAAAATGAGGACGGGCAGGTGCTACAAATGCTGGATGAATCCATGAACATTGCCCAGTGTGCATTCTGTGGACCATCAGAGAAAAGGCTGCAACACTGCACCAATACTGGGGAGCTGTAATCTCTCTGTGCACTGCATCACTTTGTTTTCTAAGTGAATACACTGCATCATATAGTCAATATTAAGAAATATTCTCCTACTGAATGAGGATTTTGTTTTATTCAACAGCCCATTTCATTTTGCTCATCATCACAGAACTGAGGAAGCTGGAAACAAGTGGCACTGCATTACCAGTGCAGAATGAGACAGTCCAGGCTACAGAAGGCAGTTCTGGTTCTGGGAATTTCATGTTGGAAACTGCAAGCCCAAGTCTCTAGGAACTAAATTCCTCTGCCAGCAGCAGTTGTGTACATGGTCAGCAGGGAAGCAATTCTGAAACTTGACCTGTGGGTGCTTTGGTGAGTAGCTATAGGTGCAAACCTCTGCCAGAGACTCAGCCACCAGTGCAGGGCACCAAAACACAAAACCTCTGCAAAACAAGTTTTTAACTTGTGCCCCTGTTCACTCCTAGGGTACACTGGTGGGAAAAGGGAAGAAGAGCAGTTTGCCAGCAGTAAGGAATTGTGGATGTATGTCAGCTCTCCGCAAAACAACTGACAAATACAAGAATATTCCTTTAAAAACAGTTTTCTACTGTCCCAGTGTACCTCAGAAAGACAACGGCCAGATATAACTGAAAAATATGGAAAAAACCTCCAACAAAACAGTTAAAAAGTAACCAGAAAATTCTATAATTACACTAATATTTACAGGGCAAACACAGACCTATTTCTGGCTCCCTAATCTGACAAAGGAGTATCTCAGTCCCAGGCACTCCCTGGTAAACATCCAAAGTACAGCAGTGAGAATTAAGAGCTGCATGGTCTGACAAGTCCCTTGGTATATCCTCTGTCCTCCTGAGAGGTGCTAACAAAATAGGGTGATTAGAGGAATGGATGCTTAAATTAGTACACTGCTCTGGTTAAGCTGTCTTTGAAGAAATGTGGATATTTTCTGCAGCTGAAGAGTCATAATCTGGAAACAATTCCACATTGAAAGTTAGGATTTTTTTCTCTTAAAAAAAATCCAACTAACTATAAACCTCCATTTCATGTACCTGCAAATTGACTTCAATGGGTATAATATTTGTCTTGTAGTGTTAGCTGAACAACAAGGACATACAAGACCAAAAATATCAACTAAAAGCAACTCTGTTGTCTATTGCTTATGAGTTATCCAACAAATTAGATGGGCTAGGTACAAAATACTTATTCTGACTCTTTACATTCCATCAATCCCTGTGGCACTGTCAGAGGAAATCCTACAGAGCAAGTTCTCAGGGTGTCAGTCAAGGAGGCAATGTTTGTCCCAAAGAACTTGAGACAAGGTGAATTCCAGTTAGAACAGACTCCTGGAATCACTAAGCTCCTATCATACTATAAAATCACCAACCTTTTCTAATCTGGCACATGGTAAACTCCAGCTCAAAGGGTTGGTAATTCATTTTGACTTTGCCCACTGTAGAATAAGAAGCAGTTCAAGTTGATAGCTAATATATCTGATGTAATATGGAGTTTCAAACACAGTCAAGCAGCAACCACAGAATAGTTTACTTTGAAAAAGGCCTTCAAGATCATTGAGTCCAACCATTAATCCAGCACTGCCAAGCCCACCACTAGAACAGGTCCCTAAGTGTCACATCTACACCTCTTCTGAACACCTCCAGGGATGGTGACCCCCTCCCTCCCTGGGCAGCTGTGCCAATGCTCAATGACCCTTTGTGGGAAGAAGTTCTTCCTAATATCCAGTCTAAATCTCCCCTGCTGCAACTTGAGGCCATTTCCTCTTGTCCAATCGCTTGTTACCTGGGAGAAGAGACCAACCCCCACCTTGCTACAAGCTCCTTTTGGGTAGTTGTAGAGAGTGATAAGGTGTCCCCTGAGCCTCCTCTTCTCCAGGTTAAACACTCTAAGCTCCCTCAGCCTCTCCTCAACTGACCTGTGCTCTAGACCCTTCACCAGCTCCACTGCCTTTCTTCAGATGAGCAATGCCAAGGGGTTAACAACTCAACATGGTTTACAGCAGAGGAAAACACTTACCTCAGGGTGAGGGTTAACTGCTGCTCCTTTGACTTTACCAGATCTCCTACCCTAAAAGTCGCACAGCCCAGGAAGCTTCGCTACAAATCAAAGCAGAAAGAAAATAAAACACTGCCATTACTTTTTTTTGATCATTACTTTTTCTGGTCTCACATTTGGAAATCATTTTGGTACCTAGAGAAATATTGCATTTCAATAGAGCAGTTTGACTATCCAATAGAAATGTTTTATGCACCTGTAGTATGATCAGCAGCAAATGGCTAAAACTCTGGTTTTATGGGCAGGAACCCTTCCCTTTTCCATCAGGAACAGCCTGACAACCTGACAAAACAACAGGTTGTAAGATGTATAGTCACAGGAAAATTTGCATTCAGTACAAACATTTGCAATTCACATCTTCTTTCTATACTTCTAATTTCTAGATGACAAGAAATGCTGCTTCTAGTGTTTTACAAGTTGTTCTTGCCATGGTTTTTGCCCAAGCCTTCAGCACTACCATCTCTCTATTCCCACTATGAATGTACTTGCTAAGAAGGTATTTTTAAAGTGAGTTCTGTGCAAGTTTAGTTACAGAAATGTTGCATTTCTCCAGCTCATGGCAGTGTCTGTAAGGACTAGTGTCCTGTATTTCCACTGTAAGGTAAACCAGTTCACTGCAGCACAAGTGCTAATCATACTAGAACACCTAAAGTCAAGCTAAGCTATACTACTGCATCTTTTCCATCTATCCAAATCACCTTCACAAATCAAGAAAACAGTGCAAAGAGGAAAAGGATTAAATCTCCTTTTGCATTTTGGTTAGTTTTAAACCTCTGCTCATCTGCTGTACCTTGCTAAAATCCCATTTGGTCAACTATGCCAACAGCAGAATTCTTGCCTTGGGAAAGAAATGTCCAGGTCCCTCTGGATGTCCCATCCCTTCCCTCCAGCTGTGGCTGCCACACACACTTGGTGTGGTCAGAGAACTTGCTGAGGGAGCTCTGAGCCCACAGTAAGAAGTACACAAAGTTGGGGTGTTTTACTACATTATACTGATTTTGCTCTACTGCTGGAATGGCAAAGTAAAATTCCAGGCTAAATCATATCCATTCCTGGATATATAAATTAAAGAAGAAGCAGGTTGACTGAGTCAACACAAGCTGCATGCAGAGAGCAGCTTTCCTCTTCAGGGAGAAAGAGAAAAGAATTTGTTGCTATGGAGAAGCAAAACTTCCTCTAGTAAAAACTACCCTTCAGCCTGTTTTCCTCCAGGAGAGCAGCTGCATATGGAGTGTCTGTATGTGAACAGCAAAGTTGCACACTGAGATCGGTTTTCTTCCCTATAGAATGTCCAGTTCAAACCACAGTTCTGAAATGAGGTCAGCACCAACCCTGAGCTCCAACGTGGTGAACTAACTCGTGGGCTATGGCTTGTTCCTATCAACAATGCAGGCTCGGACTGTGTGCTTTTGTTGGTGCTTAAGTAGCAAAGGACTAGAGACAAGTTTAGAGTTCAGGGAAGGCTGGAAAACAGTGGATTTGGGAAGTGATGAAGTAAGGAAGGAAAAATACCTGTAGAAAAAAGGCCTGGCAGTGTTCACAGCCAGGTTGGATGAGCCCTGAGCAACCTGCTCTGGTGGGAGGTGTCCCTGCCCAGGGCAGGGGTTGGGGCTGGATCATCTCTAAGGTCCATTCCAACCCCTAAAACTCTGTGAATCTATAATATATATTGAGAAAAATACCACAGCTGTGCAAGTAAAGATCACAGTTAGCTTTCACTGCCAAAATGAGATGTCCCTTTACAAGACACCCAGGTGCAGCCCGTGGTGATGCACAGCCTAGTTAGAGTGACCACAGACAGTTCTGCCTCCCTTTAGATCACTCCACATGGCATTGCTTCTTCAGTAAGACTCCATAGTCACATGACTTGCTCAGGGTGTTCATCTTCTTCCAAGAGCAGATCTTTCTAGTACAGTAAGCAGCAACCCCCAGCAGTGTCTGTCTGACAGCATTTACTCTGCCTGATTCTGGCATTTCATGGCATTTGAAGGCTTGTATGTGAAACCTGCCCACGTGGAGAGGGGGAGAGGGACATCTGGAGGGAAGCTGATAGAAGGTTGGGTCACCCAGGGCTTCTTCCTGCAGCAGAAGAGAACTAGGAATGCATTTAAGCATCCTAAGTCAGAGTCCTCAGGTGATCAGGGCCAAGAAGCAAATACACTACTGTGTTCTACAATCTAAGAGCTTTGGCCACTGTACCCACTAACCATCTCTGAGTGTCCTATCTAGTTCTCCAGGGGCATGAAATTAAAAGTGAAGAATTTTATCAACTTAAAACATGCTACTTATTTTTCTGTTTCGTATTTTTGTGCTTATTTAAAATAAAACTGTCTTTGCCTGACAATAAAATTAAGAGCTTTTTGCAAAATCAAACAGAAATTTAAATGATCCCATGACCCAAATGAAGAGAGTTATCTAATGTGCAAGGGGTTTAACCTCAGACAATACCTTTTCCATACTGATTTAGATAGAAATATTCTGCCCTGGGGCCTGAACTGGCAGACTACAAACCAATCCAGCTTTGCACACGTGACTTGGAGAGGCTGGAAAAGAAGGCTCTAAACAGAATTGCTGCTGTAATGCTAATTGCAGAGTAATGCTCCTGTGTAGTTTGGTGAATAATCTCAGCTAGCCAAAAAAGTCTCTATAATGGCTATATGAAAAGTTGAAACACATTGATTATTTCACTAAGATTGAACCTGCTCCCAAGCTATAGATTTTTCAGACACTAACTGAAGACCTGAAATCTATGCCAAGAGAGCCCTGGTAAGGCAGAAAATTCACCACCTTAGGCTAAAAGCTTAAACCCCAGTTGTTTTACCTGTGTGCAGACACAGATCTGACACCTGCACCAGATGGTGTTTGCCTGCTATTCAGCCCTAGCAGGACCAACATCTCCCAACCCCACAAGATGTCCATATTAGGGAGGTTTTAGCCTTCTCAGACCCACAAATGACATCCCAATACCTTTGTCAAAAGTTCTACAGATCTACAATATAAAAATAAGTCCTCTATATATCACCAGAGGCAACTCCTCTGCAAAGCAAAGCAAAGGCAACTCCTACTGCAGAACATTTCATACCCTGCAGGTGCAGACCACAAGGTGACAGGTCAGGCTCGTTGAGGCAATGCCATTCCAAGCTCTCAGTCTCATCCAGATTGCTCATCTGGCAGGAGAAGACAGTCTAGATGGTTGTGCTTCCTCAGGATAACCTCAGTTGGAAAGGGTTTTCAACAAAGATGTGAACAGGATTCCATCAATCCCTGAGACTATCACTCCTACATTTATTCTTTTATTCATTTAACTCAACTTCAGCTATCAAAAAAAAGCCTGTGAGCTGCTGGGGATCAGGGGGTATATGTGTCTGCTGAGGAGGAGCAAATACAAATACCAATCAGTGAAAGGAGTTGCTTACCCCAACATCTGCCCTTGGCTCCTTGTGATCAGGTAAGACACTGGTTTGGACCTGAGAGAGGAAGGGGAAAAAGGCAAAGGAACATGACTTTTTGTTGTTACTTTCCAATATATATAGAGAAAGAAGTGTGCATGCATTTCTTTCCTCATAACATTTTGGAGATAAACTCTGTGTGTGTACATATATATAAAATTTAATAACAACTGACTGATAATTTAGGCTGGTTCCAGTGGAGAAAAGTTTTTCACCACTACCCATTCATCAGTCACTCTGAACTTGGCTGGTTCTCTAAAGGGAGAGGCTGTGCTCAGTTGTTCCTTTCCTAAAATCAGGCTCTTTGGCTCTAACTTGAATGACAGAACTCTTCATCTAAAGGCAGTACCTGGAACCAAGGTTTGCAACCATAAATGAAAGAGCACAGTGCATTGAAGGTATTTTCTCCACGTCCATCAGTCCCTTTGCCAGCTGATCTGCAGCATCTGATCCCCAGCACAGATCCTGCTCCCCAGTCTCACCCAGGGTATGGCCCTGTCTCCTCCTACCACTAGCTGAGCACCCCTGAGGTGGCAGACACTTGGAGGCATTCACAGAAGGAAAGTCTCTGTATCATTCCCTGCACAGGAGCTCCAGCTGTCCTTGCATTTTCTGCAGGGTGGAGCTACCTCTGTACACAACTACTTCTATTTCACAAGAACAATTTGACTTCCTCTTACTTTTTAGTCCCCGAAACACAGAATGAATTGGGGAATGTGTTTAGGGTCTACAGAATTTTATTGTTGAGTGGTGGTTGAGAACACAGAACTGATCAAACAGTAAATATTAGATAGAAAAAGTGTAAGTAAAACCTCTGTAACAACCTCCTAACATGCCCTGCCTGAGCCAAACCAGCCCATTGGAGTAATGTGCTGGTGAAAGGATTCAGGAACACACAAGGGCAAACGTACTGAGCATCCACATCTGTTTGATCACCTAAGCAACAGATATTCATTTACAGCACAGCCCTCCAAGGACTCATTTTTGGCTTGATTTCCAAGTAAAACTCAAACTCATTTTGAACATCTCTCAGCAAAAGATTAATTTTGCCCATGCCCTCAAATGTGTCCCTCAATTCTCCTACTCTAGCTATAACTTACAACACAAAAAGAAACCCTCATTTAAGAATACATAATTTGAATTGCCTGTTTGCTATTCTAAATACAGTATGATGTTAGAAAGCACCAAAAGTACCACAAGGACTAGACGAAGTAGAGCCACAGCTTTTCCAAGTCAGCTCTTATCCCTTGATTCCCTACAGTGAGAACACTTTTTTCCCCACAAAGGCCTGAAGATAGTAAAAAAATGCTGTAATTAATTTAATGGAGGCCAACATACTTTAGAAATCTGTGGGAGTCCTCGTTTGGATCCAACTTCACAGACAGATTCTACCCAACTCCAAGGCTTGTGGCTTTCTAAATAAAACTACTACAAAATTTTCACCACAACATTTGTACCTAAAATTTACTCTTAAATGCTTCAAGCCACAAATGAAAAGGAAATGACCAATATTTCCTTGGTGGTGGTACCCATCTTACCCCTTTGGAGCTGAGGAAATAACTTAGAGCAGACCTGTTCCTAAAAGACAGTTGGGTACCAATGCCAGGCCAAAAATGCTACTTCAAGATGCTAAAAAGCTGTTCTGTGTCAGCCTCAAAGAGGTAACACCTGCCCCAACACACAAGTGAGGTATTGCCATTTGTCAGTTGTGATGGATATTGATCCAAGAAACACAAGCAAATAATTCCAGAATGAGCCTTCCTTTGATCACTGACTTATAGGATTGGATTTGTGACCAGCAGCAGTTCAGCATCACACAATGTGCACAGGTTTGTGCAGGATCCCAAGGTGTGGCTTAGAGCAAGGGGAAACCCAAGGAATTTCTATACTGATTGAAATCAAGCACACGTTTAGAATCATAGAATATTCATTCCTTCCTCTGCAGGATAAAATCTGAGTTCAGGACAATGTCTGTGTTTTTCTGAGCCAGCAGGGAGGTGGGAAGGGATGCTGACAGCTAACTAACCTGCAGGAGCAGCCTCCCATGTAACAAAACCAGATCTTGTCATTCCAAATGCAATTAAAATGCAGAAACAATTTCTGTTGCCTCTTTGAATACTCTTTGGGTCAGCCACATGTTTGTTTGTTTTCATTGCTCAGGGGGCCAAGGAGGCCAATGGCATCCTGGCCTGGGTCAGAACAGTGTGGTCAGCAGGACCAGGAGGTGATTCTGCCCCTACACTCAGCACTGGTGAGGCCACACCTTGAATCCTGTGCTCAGCTCTGGGTCCCTCAGGTCAGGAGGGACATTGAGGGGCTGGAGCAGGTCCAGAGAAGAGCAACGAGGCTGGTGAAGGGATTTGAGCACAAGTGCCATGAGGAGAGGCTGAGGGAGCTGGGGGTGTTCAGCCTGGAGAAGAGGAGGCTCAGGGGAGACCTTCTCACCCTCTGCAACTCCCTTGTAATCTAGGCTAAATGCAAAATATTTCTGACTGGTATCCATTCCAGTGATTTGGTTTGTAAAATAACAGTTACCCTGTGTCCAGCACAGCTTGTGGTGCAGGGAGAACACCAGTGCACTGCAGAGAGTACGCATGAAACACTGAATTTTCTTTGACTCTCACACAGAACATGCAATGAGCAGTTATCCTTATACTTCCACATTTATCCCAGGCATATCTGTCAAATTTCTCGAGGCATAAATGCTAAATTCAGCTTTAATTAAATGTCCTTTAGTACAAGGCAGTTTTGTGTGATTAAAAAGAGCATTTCTTTGAGTTAGTCATGGCAGTCTGAGCCACACACTGCTAAAGTTCAGAAGATTGAATCATTATCATTACTGAATGTTTCGTGCTGCCCTTAATTAAAGCCTTTGCATTGCAGGTCATCACGAAAGGCCATGCGCAGAAGGCACTCAGGGTTTGCAAACAACTAATGCTAGACCCTTTTCCAGTTACTCTAGATTCACTCCATCATATCCCCAGTGACGTCACTGTACTCACTGCTGTTGGCTGCCCAAATGCTCTGCTGTGTCACCACTGTCACTCGCTCTCGGCATCTCGCGAGCTCTATGTACACACCACACCAAGCAAGGCATAGGATAGAACAGACTGCTGGAAGTAGTCATGGAAAAAGGGACTTTCCTTTCACAGCATCATAGAACAGCTGAGGTTGGAAAGGACCTCTGGAGATCATCTAGTCATAGAATCATAGAATCAACCAGGTTGGAAGAGACCTCCAAGATCATCAAGTCCAACCCTATCGTGGTTACTAGACCATGGCACTAAGTGCCACATCCAGTCTCAGCTTGAAACCTCCAGGGATGGGGAATCCACCACCTCCCTGGGCAGCACATTCCAATGCCTGATCACTTTCTCAGTAAAAAATCTCTTCCTAATATCCAACCTAAACGTCCCCTGGCAGAGCTTGAGTCTGTACCCTCTTGTCCTCCTGCATAACCAACCCCTGTGCACAAGCAGGGCCAAGTACAGCAGGTTGCTCAGGACTTTGTTCAATCAGGCTTTGAGTATCTCCAAGGATGGAGACTCCATAACCTCTCAGTGTAGCTCTGACAGTTGTGTAGGAATATTTATCTGCAGGTGCTCAGGAACAGTGACCATCTGCAGGGAAAGGAACGCTGAGCTCCGCTGACTCAGCCACCACAACTGCCCAGACAGCAGCTATGCACAGTCAGGCCCATCCTCACCACCACCTCGAGCCTGCCAGCACCACCCACCAGGGCCAGGAGCCACTACATTCCTTGGAACTTTCAGTCACAGAAGTTGTAGCTTCACGTGTATGTGCTGGAAGAGCTGGAAATGCTGAAATTGTTACGGATTCTGCAACAACATCAGCTTTCACAGGACAGAACTCATTCCAGTACACACAGCAAATTAATTCTAAAGAGAAGATATTGTACATTCACCAGCTATTTATTGTCATCATATGGATTAGCAATTTGCTAAATAGTTCAACAACACATCACAGTCAGCAAAGTGAAACACTTCCATCAATATTCTGCTGGATGTGTATTATTGGGTGGAGGACAATGCCAACACAACAGTTTTCCAACTCTGGTGCAGAACTGTTTCTAAGAGCCCATAGCAAGCAAGGGACAAAGCCTTTTCCCACAGGTATGCACAGGGCACTGCAGGGACTACAGCTCCAGGGGAAAAGTTGCTGTGCAGAGACCCTAGCACACATTAAAACTGAACTAAAGATCAAAACAAATAAGGGGATCATAAGCTCCATCACCTTTGCTGCAAAGCTTTTGCATTGTTAGAATACATCATGTTTGTTATGTAATAATTACATTAAAAATCAAATATTCTCTATTTCTCTACGATCAATAGCAGGGAAAGTGTAGGGGAAATATGGACACTCCTCTTCCTTCCCAGCTGCCAGTTTATCTGTTTATTCACCTGAAAGCTCAGCAGAGGAGCAGGTGTAGTTGTGCACACTGACACCTTCCCCAGGCAGTGTTTGGTCAGAGTCAGTCACTGTGTGTGCAGCACTCAGTGTGTGCTCACTCCCAGCACACTTAGCAAACAGCAACGAGGCTAATACAAAATACACATCTGTCAGAGTCATCATAAACTGCTTTTCTGTCAGGTTTCTCTACTGCTGAGTATCTGTGTAGGCTGCATCTTCCTGTGCTTTCTAGGGAAAATCCCAACACATGGCACAGGAGAAACACCATGAGATCCCCCCGAGCAAAGACTGAGCCTAACAGAATGGAACAGCTTATGTAGATGCATGACTAGGTGCACAAATAATGTGCAGGAAACCACTACAGCCTTGAGTCTGGTTTATTTTTTACAGCTGGGGCATTTGATCAGAATTGCCTTAAAAAAACCCACCCCACAGTTCAAAAAGAACAGATTCCTTCAGAGCTCTGTCTGCAGTGAGAGATTCCCCAAAAACATCCCAACCCTGCAGCATCCATAGGGAAGCTGGAATGGATCAAGTGAACAGATCAAAACTGAAAATCACAGAGCTGGAAAACACATTTGAAGCTC